GTACATGCTTCTAAAGTCCCAGAGTTCTCTAACTTCCAGACTACCTTATCATCTTCATCATTCAGGTTAATACCAGATAGCTGAATGAACTTGCAAACCGAAGGCACATCTTGGCTAAATATTGGACTAGTTGGTGTGTGTGTATTTTATCGTTCTTGGCAAAATCTTGTTGGTAGATCCCAAAAAGAGGGAGCACACATTGTTTTTTTTTATATGTTGTCTGATGAAGTTCTCGAACAAAATTTTGTTAACCACAGGCATGCAATTGAACTCTTAAATCTGTCTTCTTTGAACTTTGATGCTTGCCAGTGATGACGAACTCATGGCGTGAGTTCTGTATTATGATGTCTTAGGTACGCCTTTGTCTTATCTTTTGTTGGAACATGCAGGACTGTATCTGGTGTGAAAAGGAAGAAGGAATATCGGGAGTTTATCGAGGCGAACAAATGAGTTGAGCACGCAGGATACGCCCCCAAAAGTTTTTTTTTTTTGAAGTGCAGTGGTTCTTTTGGCGCTATTTTGACGCCACCCCTGGTGACCAATTTTTGATCAGATTTTAAGATGAGCCTAGTGTAATGCAATGCCAAAGGAAACTAGCCGCTCGCTCATATTGGATTATACAGCTCAAAATATATTCTTTGCTGTGTACAACATACATGGAGTTGACCCCCCTGCTGATCAATGATCATTGTCTTGACACTGTCACTGTGCAAACTAATTCCACGGATTATCATCCATTAATCTTCAGTATATATTCGGCAATGCTGAATCCGTGTTGATCACAAGGAAGCGACTGGAAAAAAATATGCTTGTGTACGTGTGGAAGCCTCTCTGCTCACTGTAGAATTTACCGGTCACCAGCGCTTCATCTAAACACCAACTGCCGTGGCGACCGTTTTGCCTTCTAATCGCCCGCACTGCCGCCGCTCTCCGTCCCCGGCGGTCTCGTCACCTACGCTGCCGGCCCACCGCCGCGGGAAACCCTTGGCCGCTTCCAGAAACCACCCGGGCTCCACCTGTCGCCCGAGACGAGTCAGCACACCACACGTCAGGCCACAGCCGACATGGAAACAAATACCATATTCACTTATGCTAAAATTTGGCTTATGTTAATTCTTATACTGAAATATTGTACGAGAAAAATACTGTTTTATGGTCGAAAAATAGTGTAAAAAACCAACGCACGGATATAGGCGAGGCGACCCACCTCCCCCAAGACAGATCCTTCCTTTATCCGCCACCCAAATCCGGCAAACCGCCCGCTCCGCCGCGCCACCTAATCCCCACCTCAAATAACCCCCGACGCCTGTGGCCGCGGCCCCGCCCGCCCGCCCGCCGAGGGAAAACAAACAAGTCCCACGTGGCTCTGTTCGACTGTCGTTATAAACCGGCTTATCAGTTATAATCAGCCGAACAAATCAAGCAGCCGCCTTATATACCAGCACAACGCGAACGCCACCGCCGCACGGCACGAAGCGAGCAGCCGAAGCCAGCAGGGAGAGAAAACGGGCGGGATCCCCACCGCCTCGCGCGCCGCGGCAGCGTCGGCCGCCGCGGCAATGGAGGTCACCTCCTCCTCCTCCTCGCCTTCCGCGCCGCCGCCGGGCTCCTCGAAGCCGGCGCTCCGGCTCAACCCCGCGGCCGTCCTCCTCCGCCGCCTGCCGACCCCGACCCCGACCACGGCGACGCCCGTCACCGCGTCAGCGTCGGCCCGGCGGCGCGTCCAACCCGCTCGCCGCCTTCCTCTCCTCTCTCATCCCCTTCTAGCGCGAGCGGCGGCGGGCGTGGCTGTCGAAGCTGTTCCCGCGCTACGGCCACTACTGCGGGCCCAACTGGTCCAGCGGCAAGGAGGCCGGCTCCGTGCTCTGGGATCGCCGCCCTGTCGACCACCTCGACTTCTGCTGCTACTGCCACCACATTTGTGTTTGCCCATCTTAAATTAAATTGTTGTCTAACCTGGTAATTTTCCATGCATAAGTTACAAAAGTTTTTGTTCAGTGAGTTTCTCTTAAATGTTTGCTGGGCCCACCTGATGTATCAAAGGTTCGTGTGGGACAGTTGACTCCATATGGTATAGAGACGCTTCGAAACATCAGAGATTTTCATGACGTCAAGTTCATCATCAAGCCTGATCCCAATTCGAACACCGTTACATTAAAACGTGTTGGCGCGGGAGTGAAGAATCTTGCTCGGAAGATTTCATAAGCAACAGGACCCTTAATCTGTTCAAGGATTGGTGACACATCAAGAGATACTTCGAGACCCTGTTTGTAACTGCAAACAACAGTGTAGGAGTTTCCTTTAGCTGGTCCTGCTGAAATTCTGTTCGAGGTCCATGATATGTCTTATTCCCTGACGATGCACATTAGTATTAGAATGGATTGTTCTGATCATGATGCCCTGTATGTGTACGGTCGACACATTTTTGTATCACATGGTTTCACTCCCATCTATTTTTTTCAGTTTCTATTTCCCAAGACATGCTGATACATACAATGAAAAAGAAGAGGCAAACGTCCGCAGACTAAGTGTTGGTATTAGCACATGCAATAGGTTTGATCACACTGTTCCGTGGGTTTTGGAATCCACTTGTGTGATAGTAGCAGTAGGTTAGTAGACACATGAAACCAGAAAAAATTGGAGTTCAAGGCACGCTGGTGGCGGTGGGCAGTCAGGTATCACCGTCTCAGTGAAAGTATAGTGAGAATGTGACTGATATCAATACTAGAAATCATATCACTGATTAGACCAAGCGTGATCCATAGAGAAGGAACTCTGCTGTATGTTCACCTGCAGCATGTATGGTCAAGGAACTCTGCTGTATGTTCACCTGCAGCACGTATGGTAATGTCAAGCATCATTCAGGTCCAGCTCTGCCCATGTACTGATGTATGAAAAAACATCTGGTCTTCGCCGCTACGAAAATCCCCTCATCTGTACACGGTACACCACTGATGAGTAATAAACATATGTCAGTATGCCATATTAGCTCCTGTTTGGTTCAGCGCTGGGCTGCCTGGCTTGAGTTGCCTGCCCACGGGTCAGACGGGAGCTGGTGAGGTGTCGCCATGATTAATTTACAGTATATCCTTGTCACATGACTGCAGTAAAACACTAAGCCCCTGTTCGCTGGGAAGAAATTTAGAGAAATCAAGAGGAATCTGTGAGAAAGTAAACAGTGTTTTTTCATCCGCATACAGTAAAATCCGCTGGTTTTTCAACCAGCCGAACGAGCCCAACTAGTTTAAAAGATAGTCTAAGAAACTGGAATGTTTCAAACGGAGAATTTAGTCTGATGTGTACTTTCATAATTGCAGTTGCTAATTTTTCATAACTGCAACTGGTACTTCTATCATGTAGATTTTTTTATCAAGATGTACGGGCGTGTTCGGCTGGCTTGTTCCGCCACTCACGAAATCACTGTTCACGTCCTGCCAGAACAGTATTTTTCTCTCACAACAATCAACCGGAACAGTATTTTTCAGTCCTGCCGAACAGGCCCGTATGTTTCCATAGCTGCATTTGCTACTTACTACCTGGAAAGTATCGCTTTGGTTTTTGAACTGAGTGGCATTGCTAAGTCATGTTCGTCATTTCAAATCAAGGTCCACGCTTCATGTTCTCATGCTAAAAACGAAAATTTCAGGTTTCCGCGCTCTGCAATTTCATATTCACCCCGTTCGCTTGTTGGTTTTAGCCAGGCTTATTCAACCAGCCAACAGTATTTTTCTCTCAAAAAAACCAACACCAGCCAGCCCAAACCAGCACTAGCACCAACCAACGAACAGGGCGATTATTTATGGCTGAATTTCAAATTCGATGGCTACTGACTCTTACGAATCTTGGAAGTTTTATTTTGAGGGTGCCTTTTGCAGTCTTGTATGTTTCTTTATGCTGTAATGCTGGGAATCAAACGTCCGTTCACGCTGGAGGCCCCTATTGGTGGATCCGACGTCCAGAAGCCTAACCGTTCCTATCCGCTTTCCTCCAGTCACCGCATATTAAAAAAAATTCACGCATCACCGTGACTGCGCTCTGCGTCTAGCTCCGCCGCGGCTCCCGCACGCCTCCCTCTGCTGCGCCTCCTGCCGGCCTTCCTTCCACCATTGTTGCGCCCGCACCGCCGTAGCGTGCTCCCCCACGACTGCACCGCCATGGCATGCTCGCCGTGCAAGGCCGCACCACCCGACTGCTGCTATCACCTCCACCATGGGCACCGCGTGCACCCTATCGTCGGGGGCAGCGCAGCCACTCACCGGCGGCCACACATCCGTCCGCCCACTGTCATCCTCCTCCACCGTGACCGCACAGCTGAATCCCGATGTGCTGTGCTCCGCTCGCCTAGCTGCCATGTTTTGCTAAAAGTGCATATTGTAAGCGTATGTTTCAAGTGTTTCAGATATTTCAGAGTTATGTTGCAAGCGTTTTAGATAGATATTGTACATCGGGATATTGCATATGTTGCAATGGTTGTACACGTATGTTGCAAAGATATGTTACCAATGTTTTATCTGTGTTTTCCGAACACATGCTGCAGATGTGTTTATCTGGATGTTGCATGTTTCACACATACATTGCATGTGTTTTATCTGGATGTTGTATATGTTTGCAATGATTTTCAATTGTTTTCTGGTGTGTGTTTTCAAGTATTTTCATAAGCATGTTTCAAGTGTTTCATCTGCCTTCAGATGTATGTTGCAACTGTTGCATTTGTATGTTTTAAAAGCAGATCGGATGTTGCATCTCTCCTTGTCTTCTGCTGCATCATCATAGTGTCCTCCTGGTGCCGGCAGGGCATCTATACGACGCCGTGGCCAGATCCTTCCGAATTGGAGGCACCGCTCCCTTTCCTTCTTGTCGCTCGGGCGACGCAGGCCTCGCTTGGAGCACACGAAACGTAATGCAACACACGGGCGTCCAGACACTAGCAGTGCCGTTCTTTATGGTATTTTGCCTTCTTGTGCGGAGTCGTAGAGGAGTTCTGCAAAATAATCACCGTTCTATCTATCCATCCCATGATCTTTCTCTCGCATGTATGCTTCGCTATCTGGGGCGAGGATAATCATGAACTAAAGTTAAATAGGGGTTTTATGAAAAACAACTAGATCACGAGTAATATCCCTGATCTTAATCGGGGGGTTCTGCAAAATGTTTTCACTGCGGCCTCATCTGACTTTGAGGCAGGGCAGGCCCCATTTACGTTTCTTCAAGCCTTCAACTGAGAAACTGTTGTGATTGAACGAGTAATGTACATGATAAATTGATAACACGTTGGACACCACATCGAGAGTGAAGAAATACTCAATCATTGCAGTTCAAAAGCATCCTTTTGTCAACATACAATGCAATACCTTAGGGGAAAGGGAAACCATGGGCATGCTTCCAATGTGCACGATATATATATATATATTCAAGCGAAGGAACAGACAGAGCACAAGACCGTGTTTCCTGGTGACAGTGAACCTCTGCGATTCATTGATCAATATGCCGGTCCTGGCGTGTGTTCAGGGCTCCGACCCATCTCAAAGGGGCTGTGAATTCACGAGACTATACAGGTGTACACTTGAGCCCAGCAGGTGTCGAAATAGTATGCTACCGATATTTATACAGGCTTATCCTGACCCGTGATTAGATAAATGGATCTATATTGTCCTAACATAAGCATGTGGAAACATCAGTGGGAAATAAGTGTGCTTCGCCTTGACAATCAACCAATACAGAAAGAAGCAGGGGATATGAGCGATGGCCATGCCAAGGTACCTGCACCAAATTCAGATTGCTGTAAGGTTTCCCGGATGACAGAGAGTGAAGGATGAAATGAGGAGGTCGATGCCAGTACCATAGAGGAGCTCCAGATGATGAAAGGTCCAGAAATGGGTACGGCCACCTGAAAAGGCAAAAAAGGGTCACAGTTTCATCACTGAAGGTACCACGTCAGCCCTCATTCAAATGCGTGCATAACTGAACCGAAGCAATATTCCAATATGCATTGCATTGATGGCATACCAACATAGTATAAACTACAAGAATTGAGAAAATAGGATATACTACTTTGCTAATAAGAGTGTGCCATCATGCATGGCCAGCACCAAAAAATGAATCTGCAGCATATTCAGAAATCAGAACGAGATCACAACGGAAACTGAATTGTGAATTGTCATGATCGGCAAGACCTACACTAGGAGGAGGCAACGTCCTAAGTCTACAGTTAGTGGCTAGTAAATGGCAATAGGCCGAATTGTTATATTTTAGCCTTAATAGACAGCTAGGCTATTGGGCCAGGCCCATTATTGATTGTAACCCCCTTATATATATATGAGGGAGACACTTAATGAGAAACCAAGCAAGTTTAGGGTTAATCCCTTTATCCCTTCTCCCTTCCTCTCTTCTCTCTGCGCCGCCCTCTCTCCTCTCTCTTCCCTGCCGCCGCCCTCTCCTGCTAGGCCACCGCCCCCTTCCCAGCCAGGCCGCTGGCCACAGCAGCTATCAGCCAGGCGGCCATCCAGCACGCCACCGCCGCCCCCAACCCTCCAGATCGGCCCCCAGCCGATCCAGCAGCAGTTGGGATCATCAGGCGTGTTACATGAATACACATGCCAAATTGCTTTAAGACAAATGTCACATGGGTATCAAATTGCACCTCAACAGAGGGATGGCACATTGCAGGGTTCAACAAAAGCATTTCACATTTGTCTCCTTTTCTTTTAAGTTAATATGCTCCTTTTCTTATAAGTTAATATACCAACTTGTAGGTTTTGCTTCATCTTTCCCTTAGTGTACACAATTTACTAGCATAAAGATGCATCTAATCCAAGAGATGGTAAACCAAAGGCATTCCATTTAGTTCTCCAAATTATGCAGCAAGGAGAAAACTTACCAGGATAAGCCTCCACAAGCATGAAGGACCCACTGGAATGTTACATAGGCGCAGCTCCAGAAAACAAAGAAAGCCATTCGGTACCAGGGAAAAGGCTGAAAATCCAAGAGTCTTAAGTAATTAAACCAACTGCACAAAGGGCAGAGCAAAACAACTTAGAAGTAATCTTACCATATTGTTGAGAACTGTGTCTATAAGTAGAAAAACAGCATTTAGGGAGTGCATGCCATCAGTGACCTGCATGGAATTTTGATGGACACGATGGCAAGATGTAATAAGGCATTGCATAAAAAACAGTTAACTTGGTGAAAATAAAACAGCTTAATCAGTTAATCTTCTGAGTTCATTTGTGCCCTATGTCTCCCGTTGGGACTTTTTAAATTTTCAGGCGGTCATGGCTAGGCCATAACAGAGATCAGACAAAACTAGATTTGCCTCCAAAAGGGCTTCAGCTGGAAGATGGACAGCATGAAATTCAGAAAATGGCAGGACAATTGCTCTATCATATGGCCTATATAGGCTTGGCTAACTAACATAATGAGTTAACGGCACATTCAACACAGACTATTTGAGACTTGATGTTTAGAGTTCGTGTTATGTTTTCTATCACTCAATATAATGGCGAGTACAAGATACCACTGTGATATATAGAGAATTTAAGTTGTGCCCTTTATCAAGACAGGGCTTGCTAATGCTGTGAACAATTGAGTCCTCTAATGTCTAGTACTACGAAAGCATAGTAGGAATAATATGTAGTACAAAGGTAGTACTGTCGACATACCAACGCTAACCCAAACTTGTCACGGTAGAAGAATGGCACAAGAAGCCCCCAAAATGTGACATCAGTCAACATTGTTGCACCTGCGCTAGTCTGCAGAAGGCAAAGAATATCAGTGAAGATTCATCACTCAAGAGTGACACACATCATCAGTTGTTAACTCAAGTGTTCATTAGCAGGCACAAGCTTTGCACTGTAGTAAATGGCCAAGGGAGCAAAAACCAAAGAAAATTACATGAGCTAAATTCCATAGTTGTAGGCATGAAATTCGTTTTGACTCTGAATCACATTTCACATGTAGATATTAGCAGCATCTGCATAGTCAGAACTTGAAAGAAACTAAATAAGGTGGATAAATGCTCATCAAACATGATGCTGCGACCAATCATCAAATGTTGCTGTGGCACATTCCAAACAGTGGTAACACTGAATTGGCAAAACTACCCAGACAACATAAAACACACAGATATGTAATTCGTAACAAGGAAAAGAATATAGTACAAACCTGGTATATGATTTGCATGCACCGGCCCCAGAACCCAGCTCTTCTCTCATTCACTATTTGTTCATAATAGCTCACCATCATATTTGTCTCATCTTTTTTCCTCTCTCCAGAAATGGAATTGGAAACATCAAGATTTTCGACGTCAGCATTAAGAAATCCATGGGATTCATCAGCTTTCCTCAAACTTTTCCTTGAGTAAACCCAACATCCATGGGCTGATATAGCTGTGGCAAACTAAGAGTAACATGCCAAAAGTAATTTAAAAAAGTGAAGTCAACAAAAGGTTAACAAACGAACTAAAACAAAGGAATTCTTCGAAAACTGATTGCTGTTAGTGAAGTGGTAGCAGAACACAGAGAGAAGCCAGGCACATACCGCAAAATATATGGTGACTAATAGAAATGTCCACCTGCAAAACCATTTCGAAGAATAAAGTTTGGAGTCAAAATGGGTATTCGCTTGTTGGTTTCAGCCAGGCTTATTCAACCAGCCAACAGTGTTTTCCTCTCACAACGAACCAGCACCAGCCAGTCCAAATCAGCCTAGAAACCAACCAGCGAACACGCCGAATTTGAAAAGGCCCATACACGAAAGAATGAAGCTTTAGGTCTGTTAGCAGTATAGATTGAAATTGCTAATTGGGAAGGCTGTCTGTTGGCTCTGTTATTTTAAGTATGGTTGCGCCAACGAGTCCTTGCTTACTCGCCCATGTGCTTAGCCCAAGTCCCGAGGTACACGCTAATCGAACCACATTGTAAAATGACATACACGCAAGTAAGATATGCCAGCAGGAATTAAGTGTATATAGTAGTACCACTTGCCAACAGGAGATCATTGTGGAACCCGACAGAGCACCCGTATAAAAAAACCCATTTTTTTTTACCTAGAGAGACGTAACCTAAATATGAGAGACGTAACCTAAATCTGAGTCCCCTCTCTCCTGAAGACCTATTTACAGAAAGAATTATCTTTTATGTCTTGTCGTTGAAAAAGAAAAAAAAAAGATATTGACCCATTTAACGAATCTTGTATTTTGGGTCACGGGTTCGAGACAGTCTAAGCATTAGCAATTAAGCTGAGAGAGAGAAGGAAGCAGGACGACTTGACTCTTGAGAAGGAGGAGGGAGGGAGGGACCGTACTGGGTGTAGAAGTAGAAGACGGCGAGGCCCTTCGCGACGAGGAGGCGCGCGAGGAGCGCGACGGCGGCGGCGAGCGCGACGGCGCGGTAGGCGAGAAGCCAGCCCGGGTGGAGGCGCGCCCAGCAGGGGACCCAGAGGTCGGCCGCGCGCAGGGGCGGCGCTGCCCTCCGCAGCCGCGGCAGCAGCGCCGCCGCGGCCGCCGTGGGGAGCGCGATGAGCGCGCCGCAGACGAGGACCTCCCACCGCAGCCAGTACGCCGCACCGTCCGCCGGCGACAGCGACATCGCGCCGAGGGCGGGTAGTACCCTGGCTTGGGCTCGGCCTGGAGCTCGCGGGCGCGGGGGCGGGTGGGAAGTTGGGTCCACCGCTACAGCGAGAAGCAATTCAATGCGACGACGACGAGGAGGCGGCGGGGGAGGGAAGTGGAACTCTGGGTTCGTACGGCTGGGTCGCTGCTTTGTGTCGTGCTGTTCGCGGCGCCCGTTGCGGGCCGCGTTCCGGGTCCGGGCCTGTCGGACTGGACCTGGACGGGGAACGTTGGTTCTGGAAGTACGTTCGGTTGTATTATTACAGGTTTGTAAAAAAAGATTGCTGACTATTTTACGTAAGAGAAAAATACTATTTTGATTAAAAATTTATTTAGGATCAGGATAGTTTTTCTCGAGGCGCCGGCCACGGACTTCTATAAGCACACAATTAGATCCTGATGTCACTACATACGTGTCAGATCGTGTTTTTATGTACTGCCTCCCGCTTTCTTCGAGAGAAAACGTTGTGAGCTAATTTGCATAATAAAACCAAAAGCTATATATTCAAGGGATATTTTATTAAATCACAATATAGATCCAAGCGCTCATACATGTATACAAATTCACCCATGTAACATGTCACTATTGGCAGCAAGTAACGTACCACTAAAAGAACAATATTATTAAATCCTTCAATAAATCTAAAAAAATATAGTTACTCGTGTTAAGTTGGAGACTTATACCGTGGTAAAAATATTCCATCACAAAGAACCCAACCGACTAAACTATACTCAGTTCGTATTCATTTGAGGCCAGAAAACCAGTCATTCCTAATGACTACAACGTATATGAATGTGAAGAATTTCAAATAGAGGGTGATTCCACCTTATTTGAAGAAGCCATAAGAAGTGCTCACTCGTCGAAGTGGCTTAACGCCATGCAAGATGAAATGAGATCAATGAGTACCAACAATGTTTGGGACTTAAAAAAAATTACTAAAGGAGTCAAGACGGTATGTTGTAAATGGGTCTATAAAATTAAATATGACTCTAAAGGGGATATGAAAAGATTTAAAGTGCGACTTATGACGAAAGGCTTCACGTAAAGAGAAGATATATATTACAATAAGACATTTTCTTCAGTCTCATGTAAGGATTCTTTTAGAATCATAATAACGTTGGTGGCACATTACAATTTAGAATTACATCAAAAGGATATAAAGGCGGCTTTCCTTAACGAGGATTTGGATGAAAATATTTATATGGCACAACCAAAAGGTTTTGTCGTAAGAGAAAATGAACGTATAGAATGTCGCCTGAAGAAATTGATTTACGGATTAAAACAAGCCTCTAGATAGTGATATTTAAAGTTTGATGGAACGATAAGAAAATTTGGGTCTAAAGAGAATATAGAGGACAATTGCATGTATACAAAGTTCAAGAATGGAAAATTTATTTTCCTAATCTTGTATGTGAATGACTTCTTACTCGTTAGTAGTGATGTTAATCTACTATGGAAGACAAAAAGTTCTTGTCCTCAAATTTTGATATGAAAGGTCTCGATGAAGCTTCATTTGTTTTAGGAATAGTGATTCGTCGAGATAGAAAAAAAGGGTTTTAGGACTATCGTAAAAGGCATACTTAGAAAACGTTCTAAAGAAATACAGTATGCATGCGTATAAGCCTTCACCTGCTCCTATAATCAAGGGTGATAGTTTTGGAGAATTCCAATATCCTAGGAACCAAAATGAGATCGATCAAATAAAAGCGGTTTCATATGCTTCAGCTGTAGGAAGCTTACAATATACTCAAGTATGTACACACCCTGACTTAGCTTTTGTTACCGGGATACTTGGTAGATATTAGGATAATCCAGAATAGAACACTGGAGAATTGTAAAAAGAAAGCTTTGTGTTATTTGCATCATAGAAACGTACAGAAGATCTAATTCCCTACACATAGAGAGATATTTAGATTCAGATTTTGCGGAAAATGTAGATAGAAAATCCACATTAGGCTATGTATTTACTCTCGCAGGGAGAGCTATATTGTGGAAAAGCTCCAAGCAAACTGTCACTGCATCGTCCGTAATGTATGCCGAGTTTGTAGCATGTTATGAGGCCACGAAGCAGGTGAACTGATTAAAGAAATTTATGTCTGGATTGAAAGTGGTCGACGACATTCATAAGCCACTCAAGTTGTACTACGACAATGAGTCATCAGTATGTTATGCTCACAACAATAAGTCAAGTGGTGCTGTCAAACACATTGACATAAAATTTTATATTGTGAAAGACAAAGTTCGGGATCATTCTATCAGTCTTGAGCATATAAGTACAAAGAAAATGCTTGCGGATCCGCTTACAAAAAGCTTATCGCCCAATGTGTTCAGAGAACACTTAGCCGACATGGGTTTACGGAAAAAAGCCCATGATTCCTAGATAATAAGGACCTAGTTGAGAATCTTTTTTCAAAATAGAGGGTGTATTATAGCTGTTAATCTAATGGTACTAACCGTTATGATAAGGCACGCTCTATGCGCTAATCTGTGATGGAATGGGAAAAGAGATAAGTATTTTAAGTTTAAGTCATAAATTGAGATCAAGGGAAAGAATGTTAAGTTGATCTCTCTTCGACTCGGTCCAACGACCGAGTCAGGCCTTGATCCCGTGCCCTGATCGGGGGCGCCCAACCAAGTCATGGTTGGTGGACCCCCATCGCACAAAGCCATATAAAAGGGGGTGAGGTGTCGGGGCACGAGATATGAGATTCACTGCTTCCACAAACCCCACCTACAGCCCTATTCTGATCTAGAGGAAGGCACTAGAAGCGACAAAGCTCCACTGCATTCACGCCGTCGCCGGGACGTCGCCGTCACTGGACTATGTCACCCCTCTCCATCGACCGCCAACTCGACAGCGTCCTCTTCACCACCATGGCTTCCTCCTCCACCAAGCCACATGGTCAGCGACTTCTATCCCCTCTCTTTCCCTCTATGTTTCATACCGTAGATCATACTCCATGCTTATGCCAAGATTTCTAACATACCCTCTTGATCTACACCTAAGTGATCCTAAGGTCTAACACCATGCACATGGTGATGGCCTCTGCGGCTTCCTCGTGCATGAACGGCACATGGTGTACCCGCTCCCGGCGCTGCTCGACAGATACTATGTGCGCCCACCTGGCCCTCCTAGGCGGCCTGCTCTACCTGGCCATCGTCTCGGCGGCTCTGCTGGCGCGTGGGCCATGTCACTAGGCTAGATGGCGTGGGTGCAAAGCCACGGCTACCTTAGGACACGGCGTTGGATGTGGCGCGTCGTGGCCTTCGGTGGTGTGCTGCCTCGGAGAAGACCGCCATGCTGGAGTAGACCGCTATGGAGGCCGACGCCATGGCCGCGGTCACGTTGACGGTGGCAGCGGTGATGGTCGCCGCGTCCACGGGGAGGTCGGCGGGCTGAAAGTGCATTTGCCCCCTATGTGAGTTTTGGTGTATTGATGACATCCAAATTAGGGACTAATGTGATCTTAATGAGATATGTCGCAGCTATTAATCCCATGAAAGATTCAAAGAGTTGATAAAGATGAAATGATATCCCTCAATTCTTGAAGTTGTAAAGGTGGACGAACTCAAAACGCTCTCCAAAAGTTTTATTTTTGTTTTTGAGTTTAGGATGCGACGCACTATAAAGAGGGATACAAATTTAGTTGGTCTGAGCAAGATAGAGTGCTCAAGCATAAAAATAAAATCAAAAGAGAGACACTCTAGCACTCCACGAGCACGTAGATTATTTTTCTATGACTGTCGGTGTCGGAAGTCTCAACGTAAGCCAGAACTCTCGACCGTCGGAAGTCACGACTCATGCCAAAAGTTCTGACTCCTAGTCACTTAGCCTGCATGATGACTGTGGATGTCGGAAGTCCCGACGTGAGTCGAAACTCCCGACAGTCGAAAGTCCTGACCCAAGCGGGAGTCCCGACACCTGTGGTTCTACTGGCTGGCTGTCTGCGCCAGTCGGAAGTCCCGGACCTTGTCGGGAGTCCCGACACCTGAGGCTTTACTGGTTGACTGACTGCGCACGTCGGAAGTCCCGACGTACGTCGGGAGTTCCGACTGTCAGAAGTCTTGACGTTTGTCGGGAGTTCTGACTTTGACTTGCATAGGTGGACTTCTGACTCTATGTGAACAGTGCTTTTTGTTAACATCAGAAGTCTCGAGATCTACGTCGGAACTTTCGACATAGATCTGAACAGTTAAATTTCTACTTAGAGTATAAATACCCTTCTCTTCACTTCTAACCATTACGGACTTATTCACAGCTGACCTAACTTCGTCCCAACAACTCCCAAGCAAGAAAGGCACCCCTCTCCTCCCTCCTTTGCTCCAATCTTTGATTCCCTTAGGGTTTTGAGTGAAATGAGAGTGGATTAAGTGAGAGAATCACTTTGGAAAGCTTGAGCATTTGATTTCTTCGTCAAGCCGATTAATTTTGCATCTATTACTCATGGTGCTTTGCCCCTAGCCGGCTAGGCATTGCCCAAGAGCTTCCATCTTGTGGAAGGAGAAGTTTGTATTACCCTTTGATTTCTTAGTGGAAAGCTCAAGCGACCTTTGTGGTCGCTTTGAGAGAGGCAAGGAGGTGGAATAGACTCCGATCTTTGTGGTCACCTCAACAACAAGGATATTGGAGCTCCTTTGTGGGGTTGTCGAACCTCGGGATAAATCCTTGTGTCTCGTGTGCTTGTTGTTGTGATTGCTAGAGATTACTTGTATTTGTTTGTCTCTCTCTCTCTTGAACTCCATTTTAGGGTTTGGACTCGATCTACGGTTTGGAGGCATTACGGCGTCAAGGGAGTGACCCAACCTCTTCACCAAACCACAAGGAAGTGGGGTTGTAAGATTATTTATCTACAAAGTTAAATTTGGCACTGCTTTTGTAGTTCACGTAGGCGTCGGAACTGCTGACGTTTGTGCCAAAACTTCTGACGACGTCGGGAGTTCTGACCCAAACGCTGGGACTTCCGACATTGACTGAC